TGCGCGCGCGATACACTTACCTTCTTCGCAGAACGTTCCCATCCAATCTGATTTACAGTTACACATGAAACCATCGACTAGATCAACGCAAGTCCCACTGTTCAAACAAGGATTACTGGTACATTCGTTTATGTCTGCAAATAGCAAGCACAAAACACATGACAACACGATAAAAGCACAAGCTTGTGTAGAGACTTTGTTATTCATTCAGGGTCCAGAACTTACACAACAGCATTCGATAAACACACAGATATTACGGTTGGCTGTGGGTCGTATCGGAACGCGACACCAGAGTGTACGAATCCAAGCAAACGGCACACTAACCTACAATTATTAATAATAATATGCTTACCAGTTTCGCAGAGAATGCCAGTATAACCAGGAATGCAACTACACGTGAAATAGGTTAGTCTGTTGATACACGCAGCTTCGTTATGACAAGGGTCACTACTGCATGGGTTAACACCTACAAAATAATATACAATGATTTCATGGTTAACAGGAGGTGGAATATTAATGTACAACAATTGGCTCAATAATCTATATTCCACTACACAAGTAATTTTCTGATTCATATATATTATGTAACGTGTTATACATAACGATTAATAATATTCTCCAATCAAGCTCTCACCTAGCTGACAGTTTACCCCTGTCCACTGTTGAGGGCAGGAGCATACATATTCATTGATGCGGTTATTGCATATACCGCCATTCAGACACGGGGAGCTGGCACACTCGTTAACATCTGCAAATAAAATATATAAAGTGAGATTATCACTATTTTCCTCCAAACAGTAAATTTCATTGGTCAAAATACAATCACGTGACTATTGAAACATCTTTGCGTTAGTCACTCCAATACATGCAAGAATTAAAAAAAAAATGAATCGGATTTCAACCGATCACGTGTACATACCGACATTGCAACTGGGACCGGTCCAGCCCGCAGTACAGTCACACTCATAGAACGTGTACTTGTTTACGCACAGACCCCCATTTCGGCATGGATTACTCAAACACGGGTTACGAGCTGGAATGTGAAATACATATATTGTGTACTATTTTTTTGAAATGTTAACATTGATTGTATGCGTAGTAATTCATATTCGTATACTATACATACTTATACGGTTTCTCATGAATATTCAAGTACGTACGTTGTACTGTGTCCCTGTCACATTAAGTTGATATTCCAAGTATACCTATCCAACTTTTAAATCGGTGACAAGGCGTATAGGCAAAAACTCCCTCCATGTATACGTTTACACCATTAAAAATACAATATGGACGAGAACATGTATACTTTTAATATTGATGTTTAGTATTGTAGGTTGAGAACTACAGAGAACAATGAGTTAGCATGAACTGAAACGCTCTCCTTGTAGCACAAGTCAGAGTATTCATTCGTTCAATGAAACAATGAATTTCTATAATACGCATGCGCACCTGTCTTATTTCGTGTAATGACAATAACTGTACATCCCACAAACACGGAATATGATTATAATTCATAACAATATTAAAACATATATGTAATTTCATTAATATTTTGGGAGGGAATAATCTGGATGCGAAAAAGATTAGTGGTGAAAGTGAAGTAAGACTAGCTGGCCACGTCGTAAAATAGTATTTAAGAAACAAACCTTCGGTGCAAGTAGTTCCAGACCATTCAAGGGAGCACGAACATCTATATCCATTTTGTAAGTCGGTGCAAGTCCCTCCATTTTGACATGGGTTACTGGAGCACTCATCTAAATCAAATTCACAGTTTGGGCCAGTGTATCCGGCTGTACACGCACACTCGTAGAACGTCTGGTAGTTAGAACACGCAGCACCGTTCCGACAAGGGCCGCTTATACACATGTCTTGCACTGCGAAGAAAAACAAGAACAGAGATTGTACGCTCGTACAAGATAAGCTCTCATGTCAACTGAGCATACGCTATTTCTCATGTATTGGCCAGCTATTGGGCTATTAATGATGATGTATTTATACTCACTGATATCGCATATTACACCTCTCCATCCCGGGGCGCAATTGCACTCGAAATAGCTGTAATGATTCTCACACGTGGCGCCGTTCATACATCGGTTTGGTACACAGGCATCCAAAACTACAATGGAACAAAACACGACAACGCATTTAGTAAGTTCAATCTTAAATATATAGAATGACGTTACGCTGGGTGATCTCCGAGGTAATACAATTGATATTTGCTGAACCTTACCTGTTTCACAGTTTCGCCCGGTATATGCTGCTGTGCATGCGCATTGGTAATCGTAGAGATAATCCTGGCATATTCCATTATTCAAACAGGGGTCACTGGCGCATGGAGTCACCGCTAAAAGCAAGATGCATAATTCAGTGAATTGAAAGTTTACATTCGCGTGTGTCGAGAGAAAAAAAGGCTAAAACGAGAGGTTCCTGGAACCAAGAAGAATAAATTTAAACCGAAGTTTCATTTAAAAACTAAGTAGTTGTACCCTGTACTCACCTAATTCACAAGTTGAACCTGTCCATGCTGGGAGACAAGTACACCCGAAATATGTCTGGTAGTTGACGCAAGTACCACCATTTTGGCAAGGGTAATTGGCACACGAGTTGATAGCTGAAAATACATATACAAAATGGGCGGATGTTTGGATATTCATGATATACATTTATGTATAAAAATGCAGCTAAATGTGTAATTCATACATACCCTCGTTGCAGTTAGTTCCTGTCCAGCCAGCTGAGCATTCGCATCGATAGTATGTGTAAAAGTTAAGACACGTGGCTGCGTTCTGACATGGGTTCGATCCGCATGCATTCAAAGCTGAATAAAGAAGCCACGTTGAAAACGAGTCATTATATTTTACACAAATATTCAAATCTATCATTAATTTTAGTGTTGATATAAGAATAAAAATACATATTAATAACATACACGTTTCACAGTTCAACCCCGTCCATTCAATTGGGCACTGACATACGTATGAGACTTGATAGTTCTGACAGACTCCGCCATTCTGGCAAGGAAAACTGGCGCACGCGTTAATTTCTGATGAAGAGAAATGTAATTGTAATTAGCATGTTTTCGAGTAAAGAACCAAAAGGTAATGTACATATATTGGTAGATTATCGTGTTAACTAACACAGTCACACTGTACCATGGTAATTTTTATTTGTTTTTATGAGATGAGTTGAAGTGTGTGTTTACGTCACCTGTTTCACAGTTTTGTCCAGTCCACCCTGCTTGACATTCGCACGTGTAGTGAGTTTGTAAGTTAGTACAAACTCCGCCATAGTAACAGGGGTTTGGTTCACACGTGTTTATAGCTGAAAACGAACAATTGGTATATAATGAGTGAATAATCTGTAGGTGGGAGGGGTATTTCACGCACTATGCCTGTATTCCATGATTTAGGAAAAGAAATAACGTACGAAACTGTAATTGTGGCCCGATGGTATGATGAATAGCCGGAGAAAGATGGTTACACAGTCCTGTCATAGATTCCCTAGTTTGGATTCAGTTTCTACATCAACAGTACTAGTATATATTATTATTTCTTTAAGTTTGAAGTTTAATAATCACACGATTATTTTAAACATGAATGGTGTCCGAGTGGACGACGACACATTTTTTGTAATGATTGATGACTCACCAGTTTCACAGTTGTATCCCGTCCAGCCCAGTGAGCATGTACACGTGTGGTAGGTATAAAAATTATTACACGTTGCTCCGTTCTGACACGGATCCGGTAAGCACGCCTCCATAGCTGTAACGCGGATGAATACATTGTATTGGTGTGTTAACAATAACTTGCAAGCAGCGGCTTTGGTTGTATCAGGATGTAGTTCCCACAGATTATACAAGAAGTTGCTCCGGCGTCCAGAAATGCCGATTAAATGCTTTTTACCGGCGAGCACGGAATCATTTTATAGAACTCAAACAGCACAACGATCAAGATGCAAAAAACAAAAAACGGATAATATACCTGTATCACAGTTCTGGCCGGTCCACCCCTGTGGACAAACACACGCGTACGACGTCTGGTAGTTCTGACAAATACCTTGGTTCAAACAAGGATTCGGGGAACACAAATTCGTGACTGTGTGAAAAATAAAACAAACAAAATCATTGTGTCAGTAAACTATACAGTTTCTATTTACTAGTTTACATGGATTATGATGTACACGAATTGTTTAAAGATGAAATGTGGACGAGAAAATGTAATTTATAAAATCGTTGTTTGACACTGTATATTGATTAGTACATTGGACTATGCTTTATCATGCTTGTAGCAAATATCTGGGTATTCGTTGGATTAAACCACTAATACGCATGCGCACCGATTGTTTTGGTATGTAAAATAACAATCACTGTACATGCTTATTGGCAGTTTTGGTTTGTGATCTAACGACTACTGCTGTGTGTCCTGCAAACGCAACATTTTTAGTTCACGATAAATCATGATATGATCGGGTCTACAACATATAATACCGAACAACAATATTAAAAATATACATATTTTTGTTCGTATTGCATCTTCTTAAAAGCACGTGACTAATCTACGTGGTTTGGATAGTTGGCACACACTTACTTATTTCACAGCTAGTACCGGAATACCCAGGTGCACAGTTGCAACCATAGCCGCCCACTTGATCGACACACGTGCCACCGTTTTGACAGGGCGAGTTGTAGCAGTCATCAACATCTGCAAGGAAAGCGTCCGATGTATTAATCGCTCATATACTGAAGCCACACATACGAGCGTGTGCGCATGTCTAATATTAAAATAGTCGCACATATAATCCCCCGATCAGACAAAAAGCCATAAAAACAACATCTATTTCGGCAATCATGACTGTCAATATAGGTTTGCAATATACTTACTGAAATCACAGTTTTGACCTGTCCATCCAACATCACAGATGCATAAATATCCGGTAAATTGGTTGTTGCAATAACCATGTATACAGGGATTATCGGAACAAGCATTGAGTTCTATGGTAAACAAAAACAAATTATTATAATATTTTATAATTATAATTATTTTTATTTTATTATAAAGTTTTTTTATAAGCGTGAACACTTAGTTATTATGCAAATACATTTCAAATTGTAATATTTTTGTAAATAAGTAGTTAATTAATGGTACGTACTAGTAATTAAAAATACGTGTACATTTCACAATATGCGATCAGTTCACAGCGTACCATAACCCATTATAAATATACAAATCAACATGTACTAGCGAATGGTACAAATACTTCTAAAATATCAGTATTTCCCAACAAATATAACAATTTATATCCAATCTTACCATTCTCACAATGTGTCCCAGTGTATCGTACTGGGCACGAACATATATATGAAGTTTGTAAATTGTTACATAAACCACCGTTCATGCAGGGGTTGACAGGATTGCAAAGATCGACAGCTAAAAAAAAAGATTACATGAGTTATATATTATTACATATCATTGAGTTTTGTTAATTTATTTGTTATCATGCCACTGTTTTAATTTCAAATTTCGTCCGAGGCATATACAATTAAATGTTATCAGTTTATGTATTCATTTATACTTTTTGATGGAGATGATAATGGTTAGTTGGTAATGTTACACAATACATTACAAATATACAATCAACTTACCAGTTTCACAGTTTGTACCCTTCCATCCGGCATTGCATGTGCATCGATACGCAGTGAAGAGATTGACACACGTAGCTCCATTTTGGCAATAGTTTGGAAAGCACGCATTTTTTTCTGTATATGAAAAAAAGGTAATAATGTATATATTTTTAAGTAATTCGCATTGGTAAAGTTGTAGACAGTAGTATTGATAGATTACGTTGAAATTAGGATGATAGTTACCAAATTCACACTGAAGACCTTCGTGAGTTGGTGGACAAATACACGCGTAATTAGGCTGCATATTCACACAGGTGGCGCTGTTCTGGCATGGATTTGGATCGCATGCATCGATCTCTGAATTGGTACAAAAAGATAAAACAGTTGGTGTGAACAAAATCACATGGTAGCATTCGCACGTCAACAGCCTGCCCAGAGAACAACCATAGACAGTACCTTAACACATTAAATATCTACTGAAATATATGTTCACTCGTCAAAATAGCATTTAAGTGAATAACATGGCATTATATAGTATCAGCAAAGCTAACATCACATTAATAGCGAATCTTGCAGGAGCCTTGTAGCTGATGACAAGTAACTATCTAATACTCACACAAGTAAAAATCCATTCTAACGAAAAATGGTATAATTACTACCCAAATTATGTGGGTGTTTTCACACAACCCGGGAGTGCTTAACTATTAAATAAGTTCCATTTGAGTGACCAGTCACAAAATCTGAATTGCGTGCATTTGGCATTGCAAATATTATCTGCTTTCAAAGTGAGAAAAGATTTCGTTATGTGATGATGTTGCTTATTTTTTTCCTTGCTACTGAAATCCAGAATTACGCATAGAAAATATATACAGGATTCAAATTATTATTGTTCATCTACTATATTTAATTCGTTTCCCAAATTCAACTTTGATGGGTATTGTACGTATCTTTGAAAATGGGTTCTTACAACAAATCCGAGACATTAGTATATATGAACCAAA